TATCCAAAGATACTTTTCTAAATCAGTTTTATAGAAAATAATATTTGATAGTTTTTCCTATTCAAGGTTGCTTTTGATAACTCATGTCCATTAAGCCCAGATTATACTGCTTCCCAAGAGATTCAATTAAAATGCATCTGGTTTTTCAGTCTTCTAAAATGTTATATGTTTTGATGTTTTATCTGTTGATTGGTGGTTTTTTGTTTTGTTTTGGTGGGTTTTGGGGGGATGTGTGTGTGTGTGTGTGTCACTTAAAAGACATAAATGAAAGGGAAGAAAGAAGGAAGACTAGGGAATTATACACACAGTATGTGTTGGGTTTTGGGGGTACCTCGGACAGCTTCCCTTTAAGGGATTCCTGGGCAGAAGATGTAAAATTCTGGGCTGCATGAGGTCTCTGCTCTTGCACTTAAGCTGTGCTGGAAATGCATTGCTGTTCTTTTGCTAAGCCGTTAATCATGATGGTGACACCCACACAGCCAATCTTGACCCCACATCCCCAATGCTTCTAAATGTGTCTTTATCAGCTAACACCATCTGCAAAACATTGGAGAAGAAACAGCATTCAGTTTCCAACTTGACTTTACACCTCCTTCTTTTTGTTGCTTCAAAAAACATGGTGTTTAACAGACAATGAGATATTTTATTTCCAGTCCTAAGCATAATGAATGAAGGCAAGAATAGGTGGGAAGTATAATAAACTTGTTAAAAATTTTGTTTGTTTTGTTTTTAATAGTTGACAGAATGGATACAATATCAGTTCTTTCAGGTGAATGAAAGCATCCTTTCTCAGGGGATTTACTTCAGTCAATGAGTCTATGGAATGCCAAAGCTGTAGAAATAAAAGCCATGCATACCTCAAAGTCTCAAACTATAGCTTCAAACTGGGAAAATACCATCTGATATCATTAACAAAGAGTAAAAGTACATGGTTTGATGAAAATTGATGTATGTACCTGCAATCATAAATTCAAAATGTTGTTTTTGCTTTTGTTTTGCTTTTTGCCAGTCCTGGAGCATGAACTCAGGGCATGGGCACTGTCCCTGAGTTTCTTTTGCTCAAGGCTAGTTCTCTACCACTTGAGCACAAGCACCACTTCTGGCTTTTTCTGTTTATGTGGTACTGAGGAATCGAACCCAGGGCTTCATGCATCTTAGGCAAGCCCTCTACCACTAAGCCACATTCCCAGCCCCTTCAAAATTTTTTTTTTTATAACCATATTTTCTTTTTTGCTTCCTGTAGAACAAAATACTTCTTTTTACTCAAATGTGAAATATTATCTTCTAAACCCTAAATGGATCTATAGCTTCAAAAAGCACAGGCAGATTTATGAATATGGATGCTCTTGAACTGAGGAGTGATGGATGTAAGAAAGTGAGAACAAAGTTAGTAGCCTAACAACCCAATGTACTGATATGATGAGAGTAGACTTGTGAAAACTACTACTTACTGACAGGAGAGAGAGTTTATAATGTGACACTATGGAACAATGCCAATATGCAAAAGTGATATGATGCCAGTATTTAAAAAATGTATACATATCCATATTCTAATATTCTGTATTTCCAAGTCTCTTCACATCTACTATACTTACATACTAGTTATAGCAAGAGATCTCTAGTTACTGATTGTAAAATGTTAATCTCTCCCTCTCTTTTTCTTCCATATTCTAAATGTTATACAAAGTGTTAAAGGCTGAAATGTAATCTTAATGATATTTAAATGTGGTGAAATTTTTCACCAGATACACACTAGTTATTACTGAAAAATGTATACATGTTAATTGTTATTAGAAAAATTTCACTTTAAAATACTTAATGTCAGAGCAAATGACCAGTGATTATCTTTGAAGAACAATTGGGAGCTTCTTTCTACATTTCAATAAATATATTTTAGCTAATAAAAATGAAAACTCAATTCTATTAATTCCATGAAAAGCAAACCTTATTAGAATAAAACGTGTTGATTGACTCTCATAGTAGTAACAATTAACTTTAACAATGGGTGTTCTTCTGATTCATTCATGAATGCATACAATATACCTTGATCAGGCTCAGCCTTTCACCAGTCTCCCTCAGCCCCTTTCATCCTCCCCAAATCAATCTCTACAAGCTTTATTGTTCCACCCATTCACCCTTTCCATTCCCCCTCCCCCTACCTATACCCTGGGCAGGGCTTGTTTTACATTCCTGTCATTCATTTTCTTTAAGTGTACGTGTTAATTGTTCAACGGGGTTTAACCACGACAGTTCACACAATGTTTATGCTGAACTTCAATCTGTACTTCATACTGACCATTTTGCTTATTCTCCTTTTCTCCATCCCACCTACTCCTATTAGTCAATAGCTTTCTGTGAGCTTCATTCTGTCACCTTCATTTACAGATGTAACGCATTTTAGTATACTTTACCCTCTTAACATATTCTTTTCCTCTTCCATCTCCCTTTAATACCCTCAAATAGTGCCATGATTAACAATATGTTCTATACATTATATATACATATATATGGTATATACATATGTATATTTGTTTATCTCTTAGATTATTCTTTAAGTGCATACAAGTGAAAATGTTTGTAGTCTTCCTTATAGTCTGTCTATTGAAAGTATTACACAAATTTTTTTTTTTTTTTTGGGTCCGGTTGTGGAGCCTGAACTCTGGGTCTGGGGGCTGTCCCTCAGCTCTTCAACTCAAGGCTAGCGCTCTACCACTTGAGCCACAGCGCCACTTCCGGCTTTTTTCGTTTTGCTTATGTGGTGCTGAGGAATCGAACCCAGGGCCTCTGGCATGCAAGGTAAGCGCTCTACCACTGAGCCACCTTCCCAGCGCCTACACAAATATTTTAAACATTAACACAAACACACACTAGCATTTGTGAAACGCATATTGGTGAAACTAATTTGAACTTATCAATGTCCAAGGCAGTTGTACTCACATATGGAAACTAAAATTCCATTATGGTTTTACCATATAAAATATCAAACTCAGGCAATTAACTGAAAAGGAGGATTGGACAGAACACTACTTGGAAAAGGTTCTCAAAATAACCTCATCATCCCTTGAGCAATTTTTCTTTTCCAACAGTGTAGCTCACAGTATATTACCCCAAATATTTACTTTCTCCTTTTTACTTCACTGCTCATGGATTTAGGTATATCCTCCATCCCCTTTAAAAGAATCAGCATCAAAAAGAAAAGTGCACATTTGTAAATTAGTGTCATAATACTCTTCATAATTATTTATATATTTACCACTTCTTATCTGCTTGTCATTACTAATACAACCCCAGAAGAGGATAGATCTCATCTCTCTCTCTCTCCTAGAACAGTGTCTAGTATACACACACACACACACACACACACACACACACACACAGAGTTACATGTGAATACATGGAAAAGAAGATTATCTCCAGGAATGACTGTGGATAAGCTGTCCATTTCTATAGATTCATGCCTTAATTTCTATCAAGGAGTAAAGAAGTAAAGTCATTTTTCTGCCCACTATAATCTGAGCTAGCCTGTGGCTTGCTTTTCCCAGTAATATTCAGTGGACGTGGCACTGTGCCAATCTGAGCCTGGTCCTTCATTGATTTTTGCAGCTTCCATTCTGGATGAACTTTTTCTAATAAAAGTTATAATGTATCAATTTATTTTTCCTTTCTAGTACTAGGGCTTGAACTCAATGGCTCACAGTTGCATGGCCTACTTGTTGACTGCTGGTGCTCTATCAGTTGAGGCACAACTTGAGTCTCACTTTTTGTTAGCTAATTGGAGATGAAGTCTAACTTTAGTCACAGCTGGCTTTGAACAGTCTCAACGTCTCAGCTTCCTGAGTAAGTAGGATTATATGTGTGAGCCACTGCTGTCCATATATTTTTTAATGATATTATCTTCAAATAATTGTACAAAGGGGTTTAAGTTAGCGTGTATTTATGTACACAATGCATCTTGGTCAGAGTCAACCTTTCCATCATCCTCCCTTTATGTATCAATATTTAATAGTATAAATGTAGTTAAAATTCAATTTATATATTACTAAAATTATATTTATCTTACAATATTCTGTATAAAATTTGAAACATAGAAGAATAAAAGAAATAAAACTGAGCATTTCAAAATTTAGTAATCCAGAGATCTTTTCCTATCAATAGCATACAAATATAGTCCATTTAGAGAGACTTGGAAATACAGAGTCCTCAGCTATCACAAAAATAATTCTAACAATTGTCTGAAAAGCACAGGTGCAGATCTGCAAAGAGAGAGTGAGCAGCTCAGCCAGACATTAGCTATTCTGGCTAGTTCATCTTAGACACTGCTGGAAGCTCTTGTACACACCAGAGCTGCTCTAAATCACAGCAAACAAAACCAAGTGGTTTAGAAACAGCACATACCTGCTGAATATTGCCTAAAAGCAAAATCTGAAAAAGTTGTTGTTTCACCTCAGAATGTTCACAGTGTTTGCTGTAGATTCCTGGAACAGTCATTAGTCCCAGAAATTGGTTTCTTGGCAACAAATAGCTAAAATAGAAGGTATTGACATGAGAAGCAGGCAGCCCGGGCAGACTGCAGAAACTATTAGTGAGGGCTGTAAGATTCCTGAGAACTTGCCATTAGAGGTAGAGCAAGGTAAGAGCTTACCCAGCAGTTATGAAGCAATGAGCAAGACTAACAACTAGAGCAATGTGGAATGTAGAAAAACAATTTATGCTTTAAAACATTGACATTTATGATGAAAGAAAAAGAACAAATAATAATGATTTAAGGTGGAGAAAAAAGCATGGAAGGAAAGAACATCTAAAATGCAACATTTTTTAACCTTAACTTAATAGTAACTTACCAATCACCAATGACTATGAATACTACCCAGTTATTTATAAAAATAATTCCAACGTGTGGTCAAATAATTCATCTTCTAAACAGCTACCAGATCACTGCTTTCCTTCAGCCTAGCCTGAGTTTCTGTATAAAGGATGGTCAGTAAAACCCTGCCATATACCTGTCAAATGATGGCTTCTCTCCACAGTCAAAGGCGTCCTGGAGCTCCTTGACAAGATTAGCCTGGCCTGGAAGTCGAAAGAGACCTTCTTCCTTTAGCCCTCTCTGCCGGATGAAATCCACGCACTGCTCCACCAACATGGGGGCCAGGCGGTTCCCATATCTCTTCTCGTAACGGACAGTGTCTTCTAGTTTCTGCCCAAATATGCCTGGAAAAAATGGGGGATCACAATAGATGTGAGAAATTCATCTCTTCATATTTTGTTTCTTTTGAAACTCAATGTAAAGGAAACCAAAACTGGAATGCTAGGAAGCCTTTGACGTTTCTTATTTCACATTATTACACAATCCAATTCAGTTTGTGTAATTCTTCAATAGGAAGCATCTACTTTGTGATGAGGGTTGCTCTTATATTCTACATTTTCCTCAAAACCAAATAGTGACACTGAATTTGAGATATCTACTTTGAAGTAAACATCACTATTGTACATGTAATTTGAATTTTGACTTTGCTTCTTTTTCTTTTAGAAAAGAAACTAATTCAAAAACGAAATGCAGACATATCCTGAAGACAATGGTCAAACTTTACTTCTGTTACAGTTTTATCATATGTATGGCCCATTTGCATTTTGTTCAAATTCTTCTCATTTCTCTGAAATGTTTTCAATCATGTTATGATGACATGATTGTAGTCAGCAAGTAAAACCAAGAGTTCTTGAATTTTCTTCCATATAACATGTTCCTGACTGTTTGCTCTTCAAAACCTTGAACTTCTAACTTTGAAGTGAAAAATGTGAACATTACAAAAAGGGGGAAGGGTGGGATGTCATGGTGGTTTTCCCTAATAGAAAGGCCATTTTAACATTTACTGTCTAAAATTTCAGCACACAGAAAGCCAACTGTGAGCCCATTTGTACTACTGACTTTAAAGTACTCACAAACTATGCACTCCATGGTATATACACCTTGAACTGAGCACTGCCATCACTCTACTCATGAAAATCATTGAGGAAAGAAAATCATTGTGTCAATATTGGGCAGCAGCTTGGAAAAAAAATGATTGACTTTTGAGAAAAGTGAAAAGGAGCACCCAACGTACATGTAACTCCAGTGTTCTTAGGTGAAATGAATATCAATAAATGGTTTTAATGATGTAATGAGTTTTATAAAAAGGCAAAGAAAAATATTATATGCTAAAATTTAGGAAGACTCTAAGATGTCTGGGGACTTGTTTAGCAGCCATTGGTTAAGGATTTGATAGAAATGACAGATGCTTTTGCTTCCCTACTTGTAAAGTAACTTATGTTTGGATTTGGTAATTCAAAACCATAACATTCCACGTAAAAACTTTCTACTCTCTGGGCATCATACCTATAGCCTCGCTATTCAGGAGGCTGTGATCTGAAGACTGCAGTTCAAAGCCAGCTCAGGCAAGAAAGTCTGTGAGATTCTTATCTCTAATTAATCACCCAAAAGCTGGAAATGGAGCTATGGCTCTGTGGTGGTGAACTAGCCTGGCATGTAAAAGCTAAAGGACAATACCCATGCCTTGAGTTTAAGACCAGTACTCAACTGAAAGAAAAAAAAATAAGCAAACAAACAAATTTTCTACCAAAGAGAGTATCTTTAGCTAAGGTAAACAATAACCACAAACAAATAATTCTATACTTGGCATCAAATCTAGCATTAATGGAATTCATATATTGCCTTTAGGAAATTAGTCTAGTCACCCAAAATCAATATTCAAGTACAAACAAGATACAAGTAGAAAATAGCATTTTCTTAGAGCAGGATACCGGTAGCAGTAACCGGTATGGTTAGCTTAGTTTGTAGATTTTCAAGTAAGCAGTGAGTTGTTAATGAAGTGGCAAACATTTATTCATGATATCTACAGCCATTTCACTCTTGCTATCTTTACTTTAGAAGCTAGAAAATTAAACACTTCTCCCTTTCTCCCGGATCCAGGTGGCCAAAGGGCAAAATGCTGACCAAGAAGCCTTATGAGGTTTTTTTTTTTTTTTTTTGGTTGATTTCTTTTGGCTTTTGTAAAAGGAAAGGTAGCTGGATTTGGCAATAAATAAAAATAAATTAAAAATAAATTAAAGTAGAAAAAATCATGGCCACATAGGGAGAAATCAAGCTATAATTGTCAAAAGAAAGACTGTGGTGGCAGTCACAATTGAAATCTACCCCAGATCATCAGTAATAGCTGTCTTATGAGAGCATGTGGTCCCAATAATGACTTTTAGCAGTGCAGGAATTGGATCTTTTTGCTTTTCCAAGGCCAGAATCATCACTGAAATGTTTGTTTGTAAATTAAATTCAGTTGATAAAGATGTAAAAATTGCACATATGTATGTGGTCCCAAGTAATGTTTTTAAGATATGTGCACATGTATATGTAAAATTTACATAAAATTAAATATATTGATTTCATTGATTATTATTTCTTTATGAAAAATCCCTTCATTTAGATTTTTGGAATACACAGTACATTATTACCCAGGGGCATATCAGAACTTCCTGGTCCCATCAAACTATAGCTGAGAATGTACTAATCAATTTCCTTCTATCACTCTCTTTCTCTTTCCTTCTTCAGTGTCTGCAATCTACCTTTGGACTCTTCTATGAAATTAAATTTTAATTTTTTAAATTTACAAAATGGACAAGATCATGGGTATTTGTATTTATTTTAATTAACATGATCTCCAGGGCCATCTATATGTGGCAGAGGACACAATTTCTTTCTTTTTATGGCTGAATAGTATTCCATTTTTTATATATGTACCACATTTTCTCTATTTATTAATCAGCCACGAGGCACTTAGTTCTTAGTTTGACCACTGATTTTAATCTAAAGCCCTAAACATTAAAGCATTGCTAGTTTGCTAATGAAAGTCCAAGAAAAATAAAAAGAAGATATTCTTGGTTGCTGCTCAAATCTGCTATCAGTGTTCTTGTCAATAAATACATGCTCAGCATAGAGAGAATATGCTTTACTTTTGCTCTGCTGATGGAAGCTTTGCTAGCAGGATAAATCCTGGTGCCACTAAAATTGTAAGTATTTTCAATGAACATGCACTCCTAGTAAATAGACAAGCCAAAATTAAAGACATCCATTGCAGTATAGAACTGATAAACAAAGCCCATGACAGCCTACATGAGTGTGTCACTAGTCAAGTGTCAAAAAAAATAACAAAAGCAAAAACAAAAAACACCCAAAACCTTGTATAAGTAGAAAATTCTCCCTCTTGCAAACTGGGACTCAGTGAGGTTGAATGATGTGTTCAAGATTAATTGTTGCACAACAGCAAGAGACAGAAAGGAAGCCCTTGTCCAGTCTTACTGTTTTAAACCTTTTCACATTCCTGAATATTTGTCTTCTTTCTTTTTAATGATCACAATTGTTACGAGTCATAGTTTTCACCACAGCAATCTAAAATATTAGTAAATTCTAAAAGTTCATATAACTTATATGCTTTAAAAAATTATAATAGCCAAGCCACCCTTACGTATGCCATGTTAGGGGCAGTTCATCTGCATGGTTCTCATTTAAAGATCACAACATCTGGATTTGGACTTTGTGAAAGTGACTCTCAAAGCACATGTTAAACTAAATGGCAGAGCTAAGGTGTGTGCTTGGTTGTGCTATTTCACATTCTGTGTCTCCCTCATTGTACTGTGTACTTGGCACCTTGGCATAAAGAGGCACAATGGCTAAATTAGGAACTTGCCACCTGCTGGTTCTTGACCTCAGTTTCTCTCAGCTCTCATTGCATGGAGGTGGGCAGGGCTACGATGAGGACAAGTATGTTGGAGAGAAAGAACAAAAAGAGGAGGAAACAACTCTGGCATTTAAGTGAACATGTTGCCCAAAGAAGCAATTTTCTTTATGGAAGCACAATGCTGAGTTAGCAATATAATAAAAACAGAAGAAACATGAAGCACCGGGGCTCCTGGGCTTCATGCCCATAATCCTACCTACTTAGGAGACTGAGTGCTGATGATCAAGATTCGAAGCCAGTCCTGTCTGGACAGCCTGGGAGCCTTTTATCTCCAATTAAATACCACCCCACCCCACCCCCCAAAAAAGGCTATTGCTCAAGTGTTTGAGTGCTGGCTTCACACAATTAAGCTCAGGGACAGTTCTCAGGCCAAGTTCAAGCCCCAGCGCGTGTGTGCGTGCACACACACACACACACACACACACACACACACAAGTATTAAGCATATAAACTATATATACATACAGATATATGTATATATATTTATATGAATATATGTTAGAAACTCCTGTGGAGTAATTATGTTTTTCTACTATAGAATTGGTCTTGCTAAGAATTAGTAAAAAAAAAATAACAAAACCCCCAAACTGTCACAATTTGTGTATACTCCTATTCTGTGGAAATAGACTCTACCAGACATCTCTTCCTTTTAATGATGTTAGCTCTCTGCATAAGAATTTTTTTTTTTTTTTTTTTGGTGGGAAGTTACCAATAGCCGGGGATGGGAGGCAGGGGAAGTAGTTTAACAAATACTTTTAAAACATTTTTCTTGGAGGTACCAGTAAAATTTTAAATTTTAAAAGTAACAAAAATGTACCTGCAACTGTTGGTTGACTCCTACCTAGCAGCCTGAGGCAAGAACAGGTTAGTTAGTAGAGCTAATCACCCAGACAAGCCCAGTGAATTTCCATACGACCTGATAAGATCTCCAGCCTTTTTGGGTATCAGGATGCATCCTGCTTACAAGTCCTGGAAGAGCAGTGGTGGGGAGCATCTCAGGAGGTGACTTTGCCTTAGGCTGAGAAAGCAAAAGGTGCATTGATCACCCCTGCAGAGACTATTTCAGCTGGAGTGAGGGATGAGCTTTCTTGGCCCTACCTTCTGAGGGCCTGCTTTGCTTGTGATACATCCCATAGCTAGAGGCAGCCTGTCAAGTCTGGGAATGTGATCAGAGGAAGGTATTCAAATTGCATCCTTGCTAAAAAAAAATCAACACAAGTACAAAGCCATGCCTTCTAGAACTTTCTCTGCCCAGTACCTCCTTACCCTTTATGCTCTATTCCACCAGGATGTATCCACTTGCAAACCACTGACCTTGTATCCCACTGAAATGATATTTTCCTACGCTCACTAACAGCTTCCTCGTAGTTGCCAAATTGTTGAGAGCCATATTTGCTTTTGTGTATTTTGTTGTGCTTCATTCCT